TAATTTTATCTTTTTTTAATGTGTATGCATGTATTGCCTGCATGTATGTAAGTGCACCCATGTCATGTAATGCCCATGGAGGACAGAAGAGGTCATCGGATCACCTGGAACTGGAGTTATGGACAGCTGCTATGTGGGTGCTGGGATTCAAACCCGGGTCTTCTGCAAGATTGCTGAACCATCTCTCTAACCCCTCAACTACACTTTGAAAAATTATTTTTCATCATGTGTATGTGCTGTGGGTTTGCATGTCAGTATATGCACGTGAATGCTGGTGCCTTTGGAAGTCAAAGGCTTCAGATCCCCCTGGAGCTGGAGTGACAGGTAGTTCTAAAACCGTTCAATGTGGGAGCTGGGAACTGAGCTTGGATCCTTTGCAAGAGCAGTACATGCTATTAACTGCTGAGCCCATCTCTCCAGGCCCTGCTATAATTCTGATGATCAGTAGTATACTCACAATGGTCCTCATTATTTAGGAATCTTTTTAATATTATTTATTTATTTATTGTGTGTGTGTGTGTGTGTGTGTGTGTGAGAGAGAGAGTGTGTGTGTGTGACATTTAAGTTGTTCTCATCTCTTTTTGTGCTTATTCTGTGTGTTGTGCGCCTATGAGCACATGTATGTCATGGTACATGTTGGAGGTCAGAGGACAATTTGAGGGCCCAGGGATCGAACTCATATAGTCAGGCTTGGTGCCTTTACCCACTGAGCTATCTCACAGGTCCAGGAATCTTTTCTTAAATGCAGGTCAACTATTCTTATATAAAATGCTTTGAACCATTTCATTTCTTTTTTTAAAAGATTTTGGAATATTTGCATAAGCTTATGTTATCTCAGGGGTGATATCCAAGTCTAAATGTAAATTCATTTGTTTCATAGACATTATAGTCTAAAGTTAATTATATACAGTATTTTTAATAATTTTATACACATAACAAAGTTTCATGGTACTTGGAGATCATGGTGGTGCTAAAAGTTTCAGTTTAGAGCATTTTCAATTTTCAGATTAGAGATTCTCAACCTGTACTAGGATTCAAATGTTCATTTTTGAGAAGAAACATAGTCTTCCCAACATTTAAGACCAAGAGGACACCTAAGCAACTCAGTTTTCCTCTACACTAAAAGATGGTAAAAATGAGAATGGAGAAAAAAAATAGATCCAGTCGCATACATGTCCTCTGGCTGTGGAAGGATACAAAGCGCAGAAAGCAGCTTAGCTGCGTCAATCATCATATTGGGAACAGCAGGATCCATGGCTCTGACCAGCAGTAGGATTCCTTCTTCTGTCTCCAACATGGTTTTGATTCCAAACTGGTAAGATAAGAACAAAGAAGAGAGGATTAAAGATAATATCATATAAACAAAGACAACTTTAGGACTTATTATGAATAGAATGATATTCTCCCCAAATTCGTGTTAGAATCTTAACCCTTAGAGTACCTCAAAATGTAATTTTTTGGGAAATAAAATCATTTCAGATGAAATTAGTTAAATCACAAAGTCATCACGCTGAAGTAGTGTAGGTCCTTCATCTAGTATAAATGGTCCTTACCATCTGGATCCCAGACACACACATAGGGAGAACATCATGGGCACACAAAGAAGAGAGAATGATGCACCTATAACCCAAGAGATGCAAAGGTTGCCAGCAAGCGACCAGAAGCCAGGAGAGGCACTGAATATATTCTCCTTCATAGCCTTAAGAACCACATGTGCTGACATGGACTCTCAGACTTCCATCCTTCAGAACTATTCCACAATAAATTTCTGTTGTTTAAGACACCCAGCTTGGGGGCTGGAGAGATGGCTTAGCAGTTAGGAGCACTTACTGCTCCTCCAGAGGACATGGGTTCAGTTCCCAGTACCCACATGGCAGCTAACACCTGACCTTAACTCCAGTTCCAGGGGCTCTGACACCCTGTTTTGGCTTCCTTGAGTACTAGGGATGCACGTGATGTACTTATATATATGTAGGCAAAATTCATAAAAATAAATAATCTTTAAGGGAAAAAAAAAAACACACCCAGTTTGTGGTACTCTAGTAAACTAAGAGTAGAATACTATTACAATACAGCTAAATACAGAAATTACAACAAAATAATTTTCTAAGAGACTCAATAGAATTTCGTGTATTCAAAGATTCAAAAAAAATTTTAACCACCTCCCCCCCCTCAAGGAATAGGTTAATTGTAACAAAATTAAATAACAAAAAAGGGAGATTTCTACTGAGACAAGTAATTGTGAACACCCTGGGCCTAAATATAAAACAAATGAAGAAGATGGAAAAAAAAAATCCTCAACTAGGAACAGTCTGGGAGAAACAAAAAAGAAGGAATTAAGCAAACCTCCCCAAAGAGTAACTAGAGGCCAAGTAACTCAAGATTAGTAAAGGAATACAAGGTAATAGGAAGAAAATTTAGTCTACCCTCTGAAAAAGAAGTTAGAAATGGGTGGAGGGGGTAGTCCATTACGCACAGGTAAAATGAAGAACTACAGAGGTAAAGGGAAAGCCAAAGTCTCAAATCTCATATTTGTACTTCCTTTGGGGAACTGAAAACACAAGAAGTAATGAGGCTCTAGACTGGATGGGAATAGGAATGGGAGACTCTCACCTTGTTGTTCATGAAAGCTTTCAAGCAGCGAATAATCTCATGCTGATTCCGGCTATCGTAGCTTCTGTGCACAGAAAACAATCAGGGAAGTTCCTTTATCTTATAATACAGCCTCCCTGCACGTGATTTTTCAACTTTGCAAACTAAGACATTAGGAATGCCTCCAACTAGTAGGTGAGTAGTATCTAACATGCATGTGTCCCAGGACAGGTATGAATGTGGACCAACATATTTGTAGATGAAGCTGTATCACAATGTCAAAAGGTTGGACATCTCTAAAGTACACAGTACTTGGCCCAGAAACACCAACAAAAAATCAGAGGAATCCCAACAATCAAAGACATTTTACAAATACTCTTGTGATCTGCCCTTTGGGGGCTGGAGCAGAACTCAGTGCAATACAACACTTGTTTAGCAAGTGCAAGGCCCTGAATCTGAACCCCAGCTCTATAAAAAAAAAGAAAGAAAAAAAAAAAATCAAACAAAACTCTGTCCCTTAACTCCCTTCTAGTGCCTAAGTTTTAAACTCTATCAGGATAACATCCCATCTATTATTCCTTGTCCCACTTGAAAGATTCCATGTCTCTTGCTTTTGTCTCAGAAAAAAATTCCAAGTTGTAGTGGGCACTTTAGATGGCATCATGGCAGCCTAAAATGGTTCATCATATTCTCAGATCATTCCAATCCTGAAGACTGCTCTAAAGCTAGTCCCAAACTAATCAATATATTCCAATCCATCAAAATGTGTTATGGCCCAAACCAAATCACAAGGCAGCTCTAAACAAAACCAATCTTCTTTCCAAACTGAGAAAGAAATGGAAGACTAATAATCTTAAGTGGTATACATGCCTAAGAAATTTATAATTCGTCTTCCTTCTATATGCTGTTTAATTTTTGTCAACTCAACACAAACAGGGAAGAGAGAACCTCAGTTGAGGAATTACCTCCATTAGACCGGTCTGTGGGCATGTCTGTGGGGCATTTTCTTAATTGGTAATTGATACGGGAGGATCCAGCCCACTGTGGGCAGTGCCATCCCTGGGCAGGTGGGCCTGCTATATAAGAAAAGTAACTGAGCAAGCTAGGGGAAGAAAGCTAGTAAGGAACATTCCTCCATGGTCTCTGTTTTAGTTCCTGCCTCCATTCCTGCCTTGGCTTCCCTCAATAATGGACTGTGATCAGGAAGAGTAAGACTTTCTTCCCCATGTTGTTTTTGATCAGTCTTTTATCACAACAACAGAGACCAAAGCAAGACACTCTAGAATCATCATTCATCCTCTAGTCTCCTCCACAGTAAACTTCATTTTCAGTTAACACAATATTCCCCAAGTCTATAATTCTGCATTTAGCTATTATTATTTCCTTCAATGCAAACACCCAAGCCAAGCCAAACTCCCCCTGACCCTCCACCTAGAAAATATAAAGACTCAGAAATTCTTACCCAGAAGTCTCTTCTTTCTCATCCTGGAGTCGTTTGAGGATGTCTAATAAGGAGGCTAGGCCTTCAGCACCAAATGTTTGCACCCAACTGTAAGGATAGACAAGAGACAATGCATTATCAAATCAAATCAAGGTTTATCCTTTAATTTTAAAGAAGTTTAACTCTTTATTCCCAATCCAGACTATTCTCATACTTTCCTATTTCCTTTGGTTTTCAGCCACCTGCAGTAAACTATAGCATTTTGTTTCTATTACTGTTACCTCAGAATTCTCACCTCACAGGGTTATTGTTGAGAGAGACTCGAAGGGACTCCAGGCAGCTAAGCAGATGCATATCCCGCAAGCCTGACCTTAGCTCCTGAATGTACATCATGGCAGACCTAGAGCTCTCTTTTTGGTTCATTCCCTGGACAGGAAGCATACAGAAAGAGTAAACACTGAGTCCACACATAAGTTGTAGACTAATTAGTCAACACAAATTAAATAATATCGGGGAAGACACCCATCATAGAGTCCAAACTATATGAGACTCACATATAGTTCATAAAAGGTTTAGATCAGAAAAAAAGTAAAGTAAGAGTAGGCTTTCATAAGGGAATGAAACAGATTTGTCAGACACAAAAATGTCCTATAAAAGTGGCAAAATAAGCAAGTCCAAGAAAGGGCTCAGCTTCTTGTGCCACGGGAACCTGCCCCAGAACTCACAGCTGTGGAAGTATGCAAGTACTGGGACACCATCTCCCTCTTGATGACAATGTCCTTCTCTCTCAAAGGCTGCTGTTTCTCCTCATTCAGGTTCATATCCACCTAGCAGAGGGAGAAAAATAAAGAGAAAGAGAAAAAACAAAATTGCCTTGTTAAGTTTTTTAATGTTTAATACTTATTATACTTAGTGATGAGTTGAACACAGTGAATCATTAGTAAATAAATACGTTTTCTTTATTTCCAGAGATTTAAACTATGATAGCTAATGAAAATTTCTCAATGATAACATTTAATTAACATTTCAGTGTAAATCCTTATAGACACTTTTTTTGGTATGATACTTACACGTTAGGTATGCACTCTACCACTAAGCTATACCCCTAGATCATTATAGGCATTTATTTATATATATCCTAACTTTTCCCATATGAAAAATGGACTTTTAATAGAGACGAACATTTTCTTGTGTTTTTACTGAAAGAAAACCACACATAATGTTTTCTGCATTGAGGACAGGCATTCAAAATCTCTCTGGACAGAAGCACTGGATAACTGGTGCCACCAACAAATCAACGCCAGCAAAATCTGCCCCAATTCTGGGGCCTATTATTACTCTGGCTATCTCAGAAGGTTTGGTCAAAGTGTCCTCTGTACTCACTGTTCTTAACTACAGACAAAGTAAGTCAGATCTATATATACCTCGTAACTAAGCTGACTTCAGATATAATCTTTAAAGGTCTTCTAGTGAGTTACCTTCAGCGTTATCTTTTCAAACTCCCACTAAACAGAGAACCTTCAGCAAATGATGCTTTTGCATTCCTCAGGTTTTTTTGTTTTGTTTTAAATATTTTATTATTTTTATTTTATGTGTATGAGCGTATTGCCTGCATGTACGTGAGTGCACCCATGTCGTGCACTGCCGCGGAGGTCAGAAGAGGGCTTCGGATTCGATTCCCCTGGAACTGGAGTTAAGGACAGTGTGTAGCTGCCATGTGGGTGCTGGGAACTGAACCTGGGTCCTCTGCAAGAGCAGTCAGTGCTCTTAACCACTGAGCCATCTCTCCAGCCCCCATTCCTCAGTTTATTATAAATGCCTCCCCATTTCATCTTCTCTGACTTAACCCAAAAGCAGTCTCCACACTACTATAAAGACTGGTCCATTCACACCATGTCTTTGTGGCTGAAGTGCTGATAGGCAGAAGAATATAAATAAGGTGGCCAGTAAACAGATATTTCTTAGAAGTTTAGTTTATAGATTCCAATCCTGTGGATTAGTAGTCGCATATTTAGTCTTCACTTAATGGGATTAGTATTTAAAAGTTCCACATTAAGCCTAGAATTCTAATTCTGTTAACTGTAACAGCTAGTTACAAGAGAATATGCATTAAAAAAAAAAAAAAGCCCACAAACAACAACAACAAAAAAAATTCCACCATGCCCATTAATGCATTTTCAGGAAGAAATATTTTTGGCTGGCAAACTCACCAGCATCTGTTCAAAGAGAACCAGAACCTGCTCATCTGTAATATCTTGCAGTGACTGTGCTGTGGAATCATCCCCGTAAGAGGAAGAATTTCGGTGAGCAGAATTGGGCTTTTCTTTCTCCTTCTTAATTCTTATGCTAGTAAATCTCTCCAGCTAAAAAAAGGGAAAAAATTATTAGCAATGATCCATGTTCATTAATGTAACAAACTGAATACCAAATAACCAACCCTTTACCCTCTTACACGTGCATAGTTCCTTTAATTCATAAAGAACACAAGATTTTTCTGATATGAAAAGAAAAAAAAAATCAGTCTTCTTCAGACTTAACGTTGCACACTGACTCTATTTTCACCTACAACCAAACATTAGAGGAATGAAAATGCTGCATTAAGATTTCAAACCTCTCTAAAAGGAAAACTTTGTTAATTTCTCCTTAGCAACATAGAATCAAAAGCATCTCCGTACAGAGCTATCTCACTAAAATGCCTTTTGCTTCCTTCCAGCTACCCAGTAATAAAAGAGGCCAGGGTCCAAGAGGATTCCTCTCTTCAAAAGGTGATTATAATCATAGATTTTTTTTTTGGAGACAAGGTCTCTCTGCAGCCCCAGCTGACCTGAAACTGGCTGTGTAGACCAGGCTGGCCTTGAACTCACAGAGATTCGCCTGTCTTGGCCTCCTGAGTGATGGGATTAAAGGTATATGCCACCACACACCACACCCGGCTGTAACCATAGATTTTTTAACATAAATAAGCCACATGGGATAAACAAGCAAATGCCTTAAAACCAAGAAGTATTCCTTTCTCCTCCTTTTGATGTTCCATGACACCTGAAAGATGAAGGCAGCCTGAGTTCAATATGTATTCTTCAAAATCCTTTTTACATGACATCTACTCAATAAAGAATAAATACACTGTACTTAAAAGATACATATGCCGCAAGGCGTGGGGGCACACGCCTTTAATCCCAGCACTCGGGAGGCAGAGACAGGTGATCCTCTGTGAGTTCGAGGCCAGCCTGGTCTACAGAGTGAGTTCCAGGCAGCTGGAGCTACAGGGAGACCCTGTCTCAAAAAGACCGAAAAAAAAAAAAGAGAGAGAGAGATATGCCATCTTCCTGCCAAACAAATACTAATGAACCATTCCTCTAACCTCAAACAAAGATGCTCACATTAAAACGGCATTGGTGGTATACCAGGGAGCATAGCTGCCTTCTGTTGAGAGTGGTGACGCACACCTGTACTCCCAGCACTCCAGAGGCTAAGGCAGTAGGACTGAAAGTTGAAGGCAGCCTGGGTCACATATTAAGTTCCAGGTCAAACTGGGCTTACATATAGTGAGAGTCCCTGTCTGATGGGGGTGAGGGACAGCAATAAGCTGTAGCTTCATCAGCTCAACCCACTGAAGATAAAGTAACTATATGCAAGTACTCTAGGCTTCAAGTGATGAGTGGCATCTACAATGCTGGCCAGGTTGGAGTTTAAAAACTGTTCAACTTTAGAAGTTAATGAATATGCCAAAGAAATACATGCAGGGCTGTAGAGCTGGGTCAGTGGTTAAGAGTACTGGTTGCTCTTGCAGAGAACCTGGATTCAGATCCCAGCACCCACATGGCAGCTAACAACCATCTGTAACTCCAGTTCCAGGGGATCCAACACCTTCTTCTGACCTCCATGAGCGATGCATGCACAGGTGCACTTACATACATGCAGGCACTACACTCATACACATAAAATCAAATAATAAAGTATTTTTAAAAAAGAAATGCATGCAATGGGTTAAATGGAGCAAAGAGTTAGAAAAAGCCTTGGGATGCTCTGAGACTAGAACCCATACTACTAATAGAAGTTAAAGAAAGTCGTGGAAACGAGCCAGTGTTAGAGTACAGAAAATGTGCCGGAACATGCACATGCCAGACAAAATTTCCTTACCTCATCTGCCATGAGTCGCTTCAAAGTCTAGGAAACAGAAAAATGGAGGAAGAAGAAAGAGAAAAGAGATCAGTGAAATATCAAGAAACCTCCCAAATACCAGAATGGTTGGGGGGAGAAAGGAAATGAAAATAAATGAAAACCCCTAAGCTACTTTCCACATGCTAAAAGATTTCTGCCAAAGTGCTGTTTAAGCACATTCTCTCTGGTAAGAGACAGGAACAGTTTTATAAGCACTAACATAAGACCTGGGAAAAAGTAGAGAACTGAATACACTCTAAAGCCAGTAACCAACCAACTTACTGAAAAGTGTTCAACTTCATTGAAAAATGTTCAACTTCTTTAGTAAATAAGGAAATACAAATTAAAATTACAGTAATCTGTGCCTAGTTGTGCAATTCTGCAATTCTAGCTACTTGGTAGATTGAAGCAGGAGGATTGTGAGTTCAAGATCTACCTGAGCTGCACAGTAAGTCCAAGGCAGCCTGAGTAACTTATTGAGACCCTGGTCAGATTTCTAAAAAGTAGCGTACTGGCCCAGCATGTACGAGGCTCTGGGTTTGATTCCTAGCACTGCAAACCAGCCGATACTCTTGACTGACAGAAAAAGCATGTGTGAGACTGTGGGTTTGATTCCTAAAACTGGGGGGGGGGGTAGGAATTTTTACATCTGTCTGTCTGTAGAAGAACGGGGGCTTTCATACACTGTGGGAGTTAGTGAAAACCATTGTGCCACTTAGGAAAACAAATGGCATTATCTAGTAAAATTAAATGTGCACATACATTATGATTTAACACAGCAATTTGGAAGCATCTATGATGCTAAAATGTGCACAAGTAATAAAAGCATTTGTAGACATACTGGAACATCTAAAACAGAACAATCCAAACAGCCATCAAGAATATGCTGGTACAAGGGAAAGTAACTATCCAAAGAAAGTGATAAACTTATAACTACTCACAAATATACTGAATCATTAACTCACTGACACTAATATACTAAGAACATGTAAATCCATAATATGTAGAGTATAAAATTATAAAGGGCACGATTACTACAAATGCCAAAACAAACAGTGATTACTTGGAAGCTATGACTGGGGAAGGGGACAAAGAGGTTTCTGAAGTGTTTACAATTTTCTATTTCTTAACCTGGATGGTGATTACGTAATTACTCTGTTTTCTATTTTCTTCTACATAATTATGTTTGTAATTACATATACATGGATAGATACTTTAAAGTCTGAAGAGCAAGTCTAGACTCTGGATTCATCTCTCTTCCGTCCACTTCCACTATCGAAGCTCATGCCAGTATTGTTTCCTGCTTTTTTACTACAATGACCTTCTAGCTGATCTGGCTGCCTTCCGTGCCGTCTGCCCTACACCATATCCATTCTCCATACCATATCCAAGAGTCATTTTTCTAAATCTGGACTTGGTGGAGCACACCTGTAATCCCAGCACTTGAGATGAGGTAGAGGAAAGAAGATGAGGAGTTCAAGGTTAACCTCAGCCACATAGTGAGTTCAAGGCCAGCCTGGGCTACATGAGACTATCTAAAAAACAAATGACAGACTGTTCATGTTATTTCCCTAGCCAAAACCCTTCAAGTAACCTCTTACTGCCTTCAATTTAAAACCCAAACTCCTTACCATGGTGTATGACTCTACTCCCTCATCCCCAGTCTCTCCACCAAACAAACCCTCTATTTCAACCACTTATTTCTTTGCCATGCAGAACTAGTTGCAGGTCTAAACAGATCACACTGCCTCACCAGTCCAGACGTTCCCTAGACTGGGCCTCCCTCAGCCTACATTGTGTTGTCAAGGTTCACTCCAAGAGGCCCCGCAGGATGATCACTCTTCTTGGATAGATACCTGTCCTGGTGTTTCCACAGTAACAGATACTTGCCTGACTCACAGTATTGATAGTGGACTACAGTTTTCTTTGATTGTCTGCCTCCTCTAACATACTCCCAGACTGAAGTCCCTTGTGTGCAGAGCTATCCTAGGAGAAGTCCTCAACACCTAGTCCATCTTTTTCTGTTTTAAATTTTTATTTGTTCTTATTTTTTATGTGTATGAGTGCTTGGCCTGCATGTATTTAAGTGCACTACATGCATGCAATGCCCACGGAGGCCAGAAAGGGATGTTAGATCCCCTAGAACTGGAGTTACAGACAACTGTTAGCCACCATGGGGGTGCTAAGAACCTAACCCAGGTCCTCTGCAAGAGCAGCCAGTGAGCTTAACCACTGAGCCATCTCTCTAGCCCCTATTCCACCTCCTCATTCTTTCAATGAAGAAAGTGACACCCAGATAGGTAAAGTAAATCATCAGTCACACAATTGGAACTCAAGTCTCCAGGTCCCAAAGACCAAAGTCTTTGTACTCTCTAAATTCTTCTGCCTTGTACCCCTAGTTCATTACCAGGAATTCTGCCATTAGATAAGAAAGTAAATATACATCTTCACAAGAAGGAAAATGCTCATTTCCCTTGTTTTCCTTAAGTATCTTTAGAAATATATTTGGTCTTTAAAAAGTTATTGGGGGCTGGGGATGCAGCTCATTTGGTAAAATGCTTGCCTAGCATATAGCAGGGATGTGGGTTTGAGTCCAACACTAGATAAGCCCTGCATGGCAGTGCATGACTGTAATCTAGAGGTGATGGCAATAGAATCAGGAGCTCAAAGTCATCCTTGGCAATTAGAGAGCTCGAGGTCAGCCTGGGGTTATGAAACTTTGTCTCAAAAAAATCACAAAAATAAACGAACAAAAAAACTAAAACAAAGAAAATAATCCATGTTTTCAGTGCTCAACTTGGAATAAGTATCCCAGAAGCGATCCACACAGAAAAAGCTGCAGTTCCCAAAGAAGGCCAGCAGGGGGCAGAAACACCCAACAAACTAAGCAAGAGAACAGGCCAAATTCTATTTCTGAGCCCAATGAAAAACTCAAACAGCAAGCCCAGTTATTGACATGGAAACCTGCTACTACAGGGTGATGAGTATGTGGTTTACTTACTACTGAAGGTTTTTTCTTACAGATTCAACGCATAGCTGCTTGAAACAGCTTTTCTTGGTGTTTTTAAAAATCATTAGTTTGTTTTTGGTTTTTTAAAAAATATTATTTTTATGTGTATGTGTGTATTGCCTGCATGTAGATAAGTGCACCCCTGTCATGCAATGCCTGAAGAGGACAGAAGAGGCGGTTGGATCCCCTGGGACTGGAGTTACAGACAGTTATGAGCTGCCATGTGGGTGCTGGGATTCAAACCCGGGTCTTCTACAAAGAACAGCCAGTGTTCTTAACCATTGAGCCATTTCTCCAGCCCCTAAAAATCTTTTTTTTTTTTTTTATGGAGTAGCTGAGATGTAGATTAAGAAGTTCCTAGATAAGAAGTAAAAGAACTAAAAACCATAGATTCCAGGGAGACAAATGCTACTGAAGCTGTATTTATGTCTGAGGCCTCAGATGTCCCACCTTTTAAAATCTTTAAGAATGCTACCTACCTCTGAGCACATTACCTACCTTTGAGCATGCTACCTACCCCTGAGCGCTTCTAGTCCCCCTTCTTTGCTCTCTTCTGCTTCTAACCCTCACTGTGCTAGCTGACTGTGCTAGACCACACTTTCTGTCCCTCCTATAGAGTTTTCCACTATATACTACCACAAAAACCTTTAACTACAAATACAGTGTACTCAAGAAAGCATAAACTCTGAACTAAAAAAGTATCAAAGCAGATCTGGCTCATGAATACAGATTAGTAACTTTTAGGCAAAGATGACAACTGAATCAAAGCATATAACTTCTCCCATTCCTAAAGCTCATTTAATCTACAGAAAAGAGACCTTTCAGAAAGAAATAATGGGAAAAAATTAATGAACGATCCTAAAGAATAAGAAAAGAGCAACTGCAGCTAAATTTTGAAGCTAGGGCATGAGAAATTAGTTGTACCAAGTGACATAGAAAGCAGAGCTCTAAACCAGAAGTAAGAAATGGCATAATTATACTGAAAGATCTTGAAAGACTCAGGAATCAGTACTACCAAATTCCTATGGAAATGGGGGCTACAGAAAAGCGGTTGCTAACAATAGGGACAAAGTTGTTTAAGTAGTTAAATCCTTAAATTCCCCACCCCAATCCAGTCTCACAATGTCCCTGGAAAACTACCTATCAGCAGAAATCTACAAGTTTACTCTCAGGAAAGAGTAAAACAGATAGCCTCTGGATTGGGAGCATAGTTCTAAGCAAGGATCCTACACCAAAAAGATTAAGTAAATATGCCTACTACATACTGGAACATTCAGCATTTTCTCCTCCAGTCTCTCAGAACCCCAGTAAACTGGCCTTTCTTACTCTTGAGGCAGAAGACAGAAAAAATCTTTTCTAAGGGAAGAAAGACCTAAAGCTTACTGATCTAATCTAAGTAGATCACCCAAAGCTCTACTGTCCAATACGGTAGCCCACTAATCACAATAATATCTAATATGGCTAGCTACTGCAAATAAATCCACACCCAGTTGGATTTTATTTTTTTTTAATTTATGTGGCCAGGCATGGTGGCAGAAGCCTTTAGTCCCAGCACTTGGGAGGCAGAAGCAGGCAGATCTCTGCAAGATCAAGGCCAGCCTGGTCTACATAGTGAGTTCCAGGACAGCTGGGGCTACAGGGAGACCCTATCTCAAAAAGACCAACCCCCCCCAAAAAAAAACAAAAAAATGTATGTGTATGAGTGTTTTGCCTGCATGTATGTAAATGAACCCATGGTAAAGCTTGCAGGGGGCAGAAGAGGATGTCAGATCCCCTGGAACTGGAGTTTTGGATGGTTGTTAGCCACCATGTGGGTGCTGGCAATCAAACCCAGGTCCTCTGGAAGATCAGCCAGTGTTCTTAACCACTGAGCCATCTCTCCAGCCCCCTTGATGGATTATTTTTAAAAAGACACGAAGTTGGGTGGGTAGGGAAGGAGGTGGTGGGACCCAAGATACAAGGCAAGGTTAATAAATAAAAGAATCACTTTCTTACA